TTCTCAGACCTGTTTCATCTTTCAGACATAGGCAGTTCACTTACAGAAATAGAGGTGTTTCTCTCAATCTCTCTCTCAATTATATGAAATATGCACAACATAAAATATGCCATTTTTACTTTTTAAAATGTACAGTTCTATGGCATTAAGCACATTGACATTGCTATCTAACTATCATCACCATCTGTCTCCAGAACTTTCTCGTCTTCCCAAAAGAAACTGCACCCATTAAGCAGTGATTCCCCACTCACGCTCCTCCCACCCCCAGCAACCACCATTCTGTTTGCTCTCTCCATGAACTTGACTACTCTAGGGACCTCACATAAAATGGTATCATACAGCAATTTTCCTTTTGTGACTGGCTTATCCCACTTGGCGTAATGTCCTCAAGGTTCATCCATGGTGTAGCAGGTGTCTGTTCCCATCGTTTTTAAGGTTGAATCATATTCCATTCTTTCTCTTTTCATAAACAACTTCATTGAGGTATAATTTACATCCCATAAAGTTTGACCCTTTTAAGTGTACAGTTCAACAATTTTAGTCAATTTTTCAAGTTGTGCAATCATGATTCACAATCCAGTTGTAGAACACTTTCATCATCGGAGTAAGATCCCCCATGCCACTGACACTTAGTTTCCGCTCCCAGACCCCCTTCCCACTCCCTGCCCCAGGCAGCCGCACATCAACTTTCTGTCTCTATCAAGTTATTTCTCCTGGATATTTCCTATAAATGGAGTCACACGTGGGCGCCTGGGTGGCTCAGTTGGTTAAGCAACTGCCTTCGGCTCAGGTCATGATCCTGGAGTCCCGGGATCGAGTCCCGCATCGGGCTCCCTGCTCGGCGGGAAGGCTGCTTCTCTCTCTCCTACTCCCTCTGCTTGTGTTCCCTCTCTCGCTGTGTCCCTCTCTCTGTCAATTAAATAAATAAATAAAATCTTGAAAAATAAAATAAATAAATAAATAAATGGAATCACACATTAGGTAATCTTCTGTGCCTGGCTTCTCTCGGTTAGCATAACCTTCTTGAGGTTCATCCGTGTTGTCACGGGTATCAGGGTTTTATTGTTTTATAACTGAATAGTATTTCACTGTATGGACAGACCATGTGCTTATTCATTCACCAGTTGATGGGCATTTGGGTTGTTTGGACTCTTTAGCTCTTACGAATAATGCTGTGTGAACATTTGTGTGCCAGTTTTTGTGTGTACCTAGTTTCATTTCTCTTAGGTAGATGTCTAGGAGGGGAATTGCTGGGCCATAAGACAAAGTTCTGGTTAACTTTTTAGGAAACTGTTAAACTGTTTTCCGAAGTGGCTGTACCATTAAGAGGTTTTCTTTAGGGTAACGAAGCAGATCTTTCAAATGGGTTTGTTTTTTCTTTGTGACTCTTCCTAAAGTCAAATATTCTGCTTCTTTCCAACCCTGGCTCCAGCTCAGTCAGAAAGCCAAGCAGTGGGAGTCATGAATTAATTCCTCAAATAGTTCTTATCTTCACACCCTTAACTCACAGTGAGTCCACATTAAAATGAAACAACCTTGAAAGCTCAGAAGAACAAGGTTATGAAATGGCTCAGAAGACCCTGGGCAAGTCATGTCAGTCATTGAGGACCTCAACGTCTCCATTTGTCCCTGAAGGATTAGACCTGGATGATCTGTCCTGTCCATTAACGACATCTCTGAAATGTATGTGCGCCCAGAACAATCCTTTGGTGGGCTTTGAGGTACATCTTAATTCATACTGTCTGGGTGCGGAGGTAAGGAGTTTCTCAACTATGCAAATGCTAGCACAGGTAAGGAACCAGGAATTCTAACCATGAGGCCTGAAACCAGAGAAAGAGGGAGCTAACAATGAAAGAATGACCATTGTCTTCCTAGGGCAGGTTGAACAAAGGGACATGCTGACCTTATTACAGAAAACTGGCCTTATATTCTTAGCGGACATTAATTAACATGTCTCCTGTATGTCATGCTCTTTGGAGCTGATTTCTGAAAAATCTTTATCTTCCATCTAGAAGCAATAGTGTATATCACTCATTGGCACATTTTCATTTTAGTAACCGTATTATTTTCCTAGGGCTGCTGTAACAAAGTACCAAAAACTGGGTGGCTTAAGACAACAGAAATGTATTGTCTCAAGGTTCTGGAAGCTAGAAGTCTGAGATCAAGGTGGAGGCAAGAGCCAGGCTCTCTCTGATAGCTCTGGTGTAAAACCTTCTCTTGTCTCTTCTAGCTTCTGGTGTATGCTGGCAATTCTTGGCCTTGTTGGGCTTCTAGAAGCATCAATTTAGTCACATGGCCTCTTCTCCCATTGTGTTTTCAAACAGCCTTCCTTTTTTGGGTGTCTGTCTCTTTCCTCCTTTTTATAAGGACACCAGTCACATTGGGTTAGGGACCACCCTAATGACCTTATTTTAACTTGATTACCTCTTTATAGACCCTACTTCCAAATAAGGTCACATTCTGAGAAACTGGGGTTAGGACGTCCATCTATTTTTCGGGGGGAGTGGGAGAACACAATTCAACCTATAACAGTAACATTTTTTTTAAAAAATGAGGTTTGCAATAAGGTATCTATCACCAAATGCATATCTAACTGTGTTTATGCTATAAAAGGAAAAGAAGAAAGTGTTTTCCTTCTTTAATGCTTGACATCTGAGCTCTGTGGCACTTGGGCACAAAGGAAGATCATAACAGTCTTGAACCCTTGGCTCTCAGTCCCATGTGGTTTGAGATTCTGACATCCAGCAGTTATTTAAATAATAGCTTTCAGTTTGGGGGAAAAATCTATTCAGTGCTTGGAATATGATACTGTAAATTATTAAGAATGTCTTATCCATGGAGAATTGCCTAGGATTAAAGTCGGGGGGAGGATGGGACATTGGAAAAGGTTTTTTAAGAAGCTTGGACACAAGGATGTGATGCCATAATCACAGGACAGGGGTTAACCGATAAGATTACTTGAATTTCCACAGCTCAGAGAAGAAAGAGATAAGTTGGGTTGGCAACCAAAAGAGCTGATTATCACTTAGGGAGAAAGAAGGAGGGGAGTGGGGCTGTGTATGCTTGCCAGACCAACCTTTGGCTGGCTCGCTGAGAAGACCAGCCTCCAGCAGCAGAGAGAACTCAGATGAGCTCCTCACAGCAAATTTTCAGAAGACCTTTTTCCTTCCCTTCTTCCCTGTCCAATCCCCTCTGGGGTGGTTTTGGGCACCTGCCCGTGGCTTCCAGAGATTCCATCCTATCTCATCTGTGGCCCGCCCTCCTCCCCCTGTTAAATGCCCTTTTCTGGACTGACAGCCCTACAGAGGAGCCCACCTTTCCCGTCCCATTTTCCTCCCCCCTGATTTCCTTCTTCCATGGGGTCCATTGGAACTTCCTGCCATTGTACACAGAGTAACTAAGAGTTTAAGCTGGTCTCAGACACTCTCCGCCTCACACAATGCACTGCAGCCTGAATTCCCTTCACGTCACCTGCTCCCTAGCTCTTCTCCCTCGTCACACGGCTCTGGGTTTCAGAAAGTCTCACAGAGAGGGGCCACGCTCCTTTTCTCCATGGCCTCTTCTAGATGACCGTGTTTGCCAATGCTTCACCTCTTCATATCATCTCTTCTCCAACGTCCTTCATTTTTTCTCTGGCTCCACATGCCACGGCTGGCAGGGTACCTTCCTTCCCCGGTTGGCTGCCACGCACAGCAGACTCAAGAGACCACAGAGTGAAGTGCGCTGACTTCCTTAGTTGTACTAGCGAAACCATTAGTTTACAAGTCTCTGGAGGCTGAAATTCTGCTGGTTATCTTTGATTCCTTCCCCTCCCCCATAGCAGCACCTACCTGGGAATTTCTGTGAGCCTCATATGAGAAAAGGCATGCAAACCCTTTAGCACACGGGGCCTGATACAGAGCGAGGGCTCCGCAATGTAAGCTATTATTGGTAAATATCTTATTGCCCTCAGTGAATTCCTAAGTAGCCAGTCCCCAGATCTCCCTCTTCATGTCTTTCCAAACCATCCATCCCACATCCCTGTTTTCCATTCCCACTGCCGCCTCCTTTATCACAGCCCCCTTACCTCCCATCTGGACCATAGATAGAAACTCCACGCCAGTCTCCTTGTCTCCGACCTCCTCTCCCACTTCCTAATCTATCTGGGATAGAAGATCCAGGTAGGGCTGATGAAAAACTAACTTCGATGACGTCATTCAGTTGCTCAGAAAAGTCAATGCTCCCCTGTGGGTAGGTTCCCTCCTTCCTGCCAGTCCCACACTGCAGTTTCAGCCTTGTCTCCTATAGCCACGCTCCAGCCAGACCAGATGGGAAATCTCTGCAAAGTCTCCCGCCTCTCCCACGACCATTCCTTTGTGGATACCATTCTCTCAGTCTGGAAAGTCCCCATTGTCCACAAATCGAAATCCTTCTCATCCTCTTAAGCCCCCTGGCTCCATGAAACCACTTTTTGGGTTTCTGGCTTTTCCTTTTTTGAGCCCCCACTGCCCCTGCATCATCTCCGGCTCACTATTTTCCCCGTAGGACCTCATCCAGTGCTTCATAAGTAGAAGGCGCTCAATAAATGTTTGTTGACTAAAACTGAACCTCTTTCTCCCTTTAAGGGGAGAGACACCTCTCTGTTGTTTGGGGTCTATTCTCCGACCGGAGAGAGATCAGGCATGGGATTACTTTGGCCCAATCTTCCCACTGTCCAACCCCTCCAATACCCCATCTAGCCTCTTCTCAGCATATTTTAATGTGGACACTTCCTCATTCTGCCTTTTTGCCTTTCTAATTTCAAACAACTCTAGCTTACCTACCCCCAAAGCACTACCTGTCCCGGCCTTTGTCCTAATTCCCCCCAATTTCACTGCTCTCTTAAACAGACTGGTGCTCATGGACTAAAACCCTGAAGCGACTCGCTCTTCTACAAGGTCTGATCTGTATCAGGGAACCCGAGCCCCGCAGTTAAAAGTGTCATGAAATGGACTGATAAGTAGCTAGAAGCAGAACGCTGTGTATACACAAATGACGTTGCATTGCAGGATGCAGTTTGGGAGTTCGAGCAAGAATTGTTTATTAAAATGCATAAGCTTACCGCAGCTTTACTGAGGAGATAACATACTTAACAGTCACTGGTGGAGCACTGCATAAGAGAATGGGTATTTTATGTGGATCTAAGTGGGTCTTTTGAAGTATTTTTTGATTCTTTTCATTAGGCAAGATGAAGCCATCTTTAAGGCCATGTCGCTGGCATAAAAAGATGCACATGACATGTCAGCAACTACAGTATACGCATTTATTTTGTGTGAGCACAGCAAAACACTTGGGAACATGGTTTATTTCGCAGAAAGACTAAATTAACCCTTCAATTGCCGTCCCATGCCACATAACTGCCAATCTTGTCACACTGCTGCCTTTGCTTCTGATCATTACTTCTTCAGCCTGTCTGTGTCTTAAGGATACATTAAGTAAAGAGAGGAAGATCAAGTGGGAACAAGAAAGCCTTCTATATGCTCAATCCTGTGAGGTGGGTGTCCCCATCCAGGCCTTACAGAGGAAGAACAGTCGCGTCTAGCCTGAATCATGGGAACCAGGAACTTCTCGAATCCCAGGCGTGCGCCATCTCCCACTGTAACTAAACCACACTCACATCCTTATGCCATTTTTGTATTTCTCCAGTGCAGACCACTTTGTACCTATCTGCTTATCAACACCCTCCTCCCCACCGGGTCTTAGTAAAGAGAGGCCTGGCCCCTTCTGTTTTGTTGGATGCTGATGGAGGCTAGCAAGAGTTTTCCTTCCATGTTTGTTCATGTGGTTTCCTCCCACTTTGAGAAGAAAGAAAAATAGGGCTGGACTGCCAGGACTCGGAGAGGGCCGCACAGCAGACTGGGATTGTCCACCAGTGGAGCAGTGCGGTTGTTGCTTCTTCTTTTTTTTTTTTTTGGTTGTTGCTTCTGATCCCAGTGTTGCCACTGTTCAGCTGATGGGCCCTGGCAAATTATGTGGTCCTCTGCATGTCAGCTTTCTTCCCTATAAAATGGGCATGATGTCCCTCTCATGGGGTGGCTTGGCACAGGGTAGGCACTTAACCAGTGTTAGCCCCCCTCCCCCAAATTCTATTCATAGTAAGGAGAAATCCAGACATTGGAGCATGAAGAAGTATTCCTTATATCCCTCTACCTTTCCCCTTTTCTCACACCCAAGCCAAACCTCAAAAACAGGTCTTCTCCCTGTCTCCCCTCCACCTACCTCCTCATCCCCTCAGTCCCGCTGTCACTGCCAGAGCTCATGGAAAGCACAGGAATCTCAAGGGAAACCAATCTTCCTCCTCTCAGCTGGGCGGACACTCAGGGGCTCATCCCTGTGGACTGAAAGGCAGAGGACCTAATCGGAGTTACCTCTCTGGGGAGCAGGAGGGGCAGAGAGGAGGTGTTTTTCCAGGGTCTTCTTCCCATTCCCTTTCACTACATTGCCCCCACCCAGGGAGGCTCAAGGTGGTGACTCTGGCGCTCGCTAACTCTCTGAGGAAACACCCAGGTCAAGGTGCGAGCCTGTCATAAGGCAGCCGGAGGAAGGGAGGGGACTGACTAGGTAGTATGCTGTCATACTCTCCGTGACAAGAGTTTTTAGCCCAGGGACTATCTCGAACTCAGTCTATCTCTGTGAGTGAGATAGGGGAAACTGTAAACCCAGGTGTAAATTGGCCCGCGGAGGACCGGGATGTCGGTCCGGGCGAGGTGGAGGACCAGCTCTCTCCAGTCCAACCCTTCATTCTACATCCAGAAAACTAAAGTTCCTGGGGGTGAAGCAATGTGCCTGACGCTCCGTCCCAGGACTGAGCGGGACCTGGAATCCGCCGTCGGGATTCCCAGTCCGGCTCCCTCGCGCCCCACGCTCCTCCCCCGCCACCGTAATGGACAATATCGGTGCCCACGCAGCTTGGGCGACCCGGCTCGGCTCCCGACCTCACTATTCCACTCCCGACCTCTCGCTTTCTCGTTCCCGCGCCGCAGCTCTCGGGCTTTAACCGCCCCGGGGTCTCGCAGAGCCGGCTGGACGAAGGGAGGCAGGACACCTACGATACCTCCACAGACACTGTGGTCAGAGGAAGGCTGCGAACGCCGATCGCCGCCTCCGGGGCGGGCGCAGGTGCGGGCTCGGCTCGCGGGTCGGAAGGCGCCCAGTCCCGGGCCAGGGGCGGGGCCTCCCCGCCGAGAGAGGCCGGGCGGGTGGGCGAGGGAGGGGCGGGGCGGGGCGGGGCGAGTTTGGAGCGCTCGGGGCGGGAGAGCAGCAGCCCGCCGGCGGGGAGCCCGAGGCACGCGGGCCTGGGCGGGGGCGCGCGGGGGGCGCGGGCGGCGGCGGGGGCTGCGGAGGTGCGGCGGGGGCCTGGGCGCGCGGCGTAACCGGAGGCGGAGGGGGCGGAGCCGCGCTCGCAGCTGCCACCCGGCCTCCCGGCCCCGGCAGAGGACACCCGCCCGCCGCCGGGCACGCACCGCGCGCACTCACTCTCCAAACAATGCTCCGAGGCGCCCGGCGGGGCGGCTGGCGGCTCGGCGACCGCCGGCGAGGCCGGGGGAGCGCGGCCCCGAGGTGAGCCAGCGCGACGCGTTCTCCAAACCCAGGCTCTTTTTGTCTTGGCGAACGTGGCCGCGGAGGGGAGCTCCGGCCGAGCGCCGCGGCCGCCGAGAGGGCGACCCCCCTGTCGGCGTCCCCCGGGGTGACAGGCGGCCGCTGGCGGAGGGTGGGGCGTCCGGACCGCGTGCGCCCGGGGTTGTGCTCCAGGTTGGAGGCGCTGAGCCTGGAGCACGCGGGAGCCGGAGGGGTGTTTTCGATTCATTTGAGAATCGCGCTTTTTTAAAACGGGGGAAACTTTCCTTCGAGTTCGGGGAGGGGAAACCGACTGTTCAGCTGGGCTTGCTGGGCTTGCTGGGCTTGCTGTTCTGTTTGGGGCAAGAGACTGAAGCGCTTTGCGAGTTGCTAATGGGGAAGACTTCGTTTCTGCGGCGGGAGTCCTGTCAAAGGAGCAGAGAGGGAGAGGCCGCCGGGGCTGCGAGGACCGGGATCCCGGGGGCGAGATGGTTTGGGGCCCCAGGGTAGCCGCCTCCTGTGTTGCCCCGAGTTAGATGGCAGCCTCTGAGCCCCCAGAGGGCACAAGATGATGCCTTTCTCCCGAGCCCCGGCTGAGCCCTCTGAAAGGCGTACTGTGGGCACGTTCTTAACCTTTGCTTGTGCTGCTCGTGTCCCCAGCCGGACACACACACACACACACACACGCACACACGCACTCAGAAAATAGAACCTCTCCACCTCTCCACTTTCAGGTCCTGTAAATGGGAATGGAGGCAGGGCCGGCTAAATGTGTTTATTTTTCTCAGGTAGAGCTCAGCCAGCGAGGGCATGGCTTTGCAGAGCTGTAAAGGGAAGCCCAAAGGTCTACGGGCCAGGAGTTTTGCAATGAGATCAGGGCAGAGTCAGGTTCCATGGACCTTATTGATCACTGGCCTAAACAATGGTAGCAGCCTTTTTCCCTTTTTCAGAGGGAAATTTGACAGGAAGCCCTGGGGAATTCTGCAGCTACTTTGTTATCAGGGGATCCTGTGGAATTCGGCTATCCTCCTTACTGGTTTAGGCTGTAGGAGGTCTAACCCATGAAAATCACATTCCTACTGCTGAGATTAGATTACATTGCATTGGAGAAGGAAAAAATAAAATAAAAAGTTGGGCGAATATCATGATACCCTCTGGGTGTGTGTGTGTTGGGCGGGTGTTGGGGAGGTGTGTTAAGGTTGTCACTTTGTTCTTTCTGCCTGGGCAACCCCTACCAGTCGAGTATTGAAATCCAGACATTTTCCATATGTACTTTTCTTTTTCAGTGTTGCATTAATTTAATTGTTCTATATATATACGTGTGTATATATATATATATACACACGTATATATATATATATAACAATGCATACATATATATTTATTTATTAGATGAGTCTTTTCTGGAATTCCGTCCCTTCAGGGTAAGGCATTAACAACCTTTGATGCAAGTGTAAGGGGCATTTTGAGCCAAAAGGTTTAGTTTTATGGATCTGGCCACCATTCTTCAGATTCTTTTTAAATGGGATGGGAGTGTGTCTGACAACTTCAGTCTTGCAAATTGTAGCCACAAATCTAGTGCAGAAGTTTGCAGAGGCAAAGCTATTTTTCATGACTTGGATCAGAAAGAATGCTGGGACCTTTTTCTAATCTTACACTGCTGCCTCCCACTGAAATGGGGGAATTTGCATAATTCTGGGGGCTGCCTCCCCTCTGAGGTAAGGGATGTGGGCTGGAAGGTACCATTCCCAGGCTGTGGAGAGTTGGCACTGGTAGGCAAAGTACTGTTGCTGTTTGTGTGTGCCACTTGAGTTTTTCACCATCTCTCACTGAAAACAAATAGGAGATAATTCCAGGCATAGAGCTCTCTAGACAGAACTGGAAAAGCATCTTTTCTGGCTTGATGTGGTGGTAAATTTCTGTTTGCTGTGACTGAGAAACCAGTTTTAACAGGATGCAGTGAGTCAATGATGGTGGAAGGCTAGCGCTTCATTCTGTTCTCTTATTCAAAGCCTTCCCCTAAAAACCTTTGCCTCTCTGAGCCGTCGTGTGGAGAGCTGTGCCCGCGTCAGAGAATTTCAGAGCTGGGCATGGGAGCAGAGAGCGTGCGTAAGCTGGGGAAGGTTCTGAAGGAGGCTTCCCATACCTCAGTCATCCAGAGCCGACCCAAAGTCCCAGGGCTGTTGTGGGCCATCGGGGACAAAGAATGGGGTGCTCTGGAACCAGGCAGACATGACAAGTTTGTGCTCTCGGTTGCCTGTTGGGGGAGGCAATGAAGGGTGGGTGGCCACCCCAGACTGCCTCTTTGTGTGCCTGTGGTAGCCGTGAGGAAGTGGTTGGACACCCACCTCCACAGAGAGCTCAGCCTTATAAGGAGCTGCAGGAACGTGAAAGGCCCACACAGAACGGGTTTCTGAGTTTTCTTTCCCTGTCCCATCAAGGGGGCTCGGGAGCCTTTGCCTGCAGTAAAGGGGAGCCTCTCTTTCCCTGTGGTCAGGAAGCCAACAGCTCTCTATGAAAGGACCAACTCCCCACTTTGGGGCAGGGATATGGACCCCTGCTCTCTGAATACCAGTGTGCTTCTTCCACTCCCCCTCCCCCCAAAATTTAGCAGCAGAGCCTAAAGCTCTCCCTGGCTCAAGACTGTGGGAGGAAGAAAAATCCTTGCTATCCTCCTCTGCTTGTTGAAGCTTAGTGACCTCTTCTGGGGAGCTTGGTGAGGCATGAACCTGCTACTTGGGTGTATTTAGGGGAGGAGAAGAACCTAACCCACAATCATCTTAAAGAGAGGGATGCATAAGCCCCTACCGACAGTTGCGGAAAGACAAACACTTGTCTTTTTCTCAGAGTGTTTATTTAGCTTCAGGATGCGGTGGCTTCACGGTGAACTTTGGAGGGAGAGGAGGTAAATTTAGCTCCGGTGCTTGTGAATAAGCATGCCTGTCTGTGAGTGTGGGACGCTGGAAAGAGAGCACTCTCCACAAAGATGCTGGAGTGGGCTCCTGGCTCACTCCACCCGGTTAGCCCTGATGATAGTTTAGAGGGCATCTGCCCCAAAGCAAGTTCTCACTGGAGGAGAGTGGGGAGCAAACCCCAGGGCAAAGCTCCCTTTTTGATGAGAATCTGATCGCCTGACGTTTGTAGAGCTGATTTTCTCATGGACATTTTCCTTATGAGGAGGTCAGTTCATTTAAACGAGGAAAGAAGGACGACGAGCAGCAAACAGGTGATGGGCAGCCACTCTGTAGAATGAATGACGTGATGAGTTGAGGGGCTGCCAGCAGTTGACCTTGCCTTCTACAACCACCCAGCTCCCTGTGTCTGCTGGACAGGTCGTAGTTATGTCATTGCCGTTGTTTCTCCATCTCTAAAATGGGGATAACAGCTACCTGCCAGGGTGTTATTCAGGCTAATTGGTTCATATCTGCAACCCTTTGAGTTCATCTTCAACAGGTGAATTTACTAGGTTCTCTGGGCAAACTCTCTGCTCCCTATTGGACTGTCAGAGACAACTCTTGCAATAAGCAGACTGCCTTACCCCCAGGGCTATCATAGGGGAAAAGAATTGTGTGATAATCTCTTCCTTCTGTTATATTTTACTCGGCCACCCTTAGACCAGAGGGCTGTGGTAATAAGGCATTTCTCTTTCTGTTTCCCTCCTTGGCCTACGGCCCTGGCTCTGTTGACCTCACTGAGCACCGGGTTGAGTAACGTCTATGAAGTAAGGGGAGGAGGGCGGATTCTCAAGATGCTGGACCTCCTGACACGGTTCCCCTGAGGGGCAGGCTGGCCCCACACCTCTCCCCTTTCTCATCCACCGAGTGTCCCCCTGGCCAGAAGTATGGCTTCCAGCACTGGGCTCAGGGCCCAGGCCTACCTGCCCCCTCACACAGTCCTTGGTGAAAAGCTCTGGCTTGTCCTCTGGAAACCACCATTTTTATCTGCTGTACTACGTTGTGGTTCTTGTCCCAAGCTCTAGATCCCTTCAGCCCTGGGGACTGAAATGCCCGCTCTGCTCGGTACTCCCGTCACAGAGTTGTGTTTAGTTTTCACAGCTTCTGATAAGGCCGCACCACCAGAGAGTGACTAAGAGCCTTATGACAAATAGGTGAGGGCCTCCGAATACATGGAATGCTAATCTCTACCTTTTTCTTCTCCTTCTTTCCCCCTTCCCCCACCTACTACTCCCCCTTGGAAGACTCAGCCTCTCGCTGGTAGTGCGGCCATCCTCAGGTCGGGCAGCTCTCTGACAGGCCCAGTGTTCTGCTTGCTGTCTCGGGAAGCCGCCCTGCGACCCGCATCTGCCTCCCAGGAGACCACGCCGGAGAGCCGAGCGCAAGATGAGCCAGCGCGCCGTGGGCTCAAGATGCACCGGACCGTCCGACTGAGCCCCGAGAGCCCGAAGATGTCTGCGTGCGGTGACTTTGTGGAACACATCTGGAAGCCCGGGTCCTGCAAGAACTGCTTCTGCTTGAGGAGTGACCACCAGCTGGCGCCCGGCCACCTGCCCCCTCCGCCTCGCCTGCCCCCCAGGCCCGACAACTGCCGCCTGGAAGATGAAGGCGTGAACGGCTCGCCCTACTCCAAGCCCACCATCGCCGTGAAGCCCACCATGATGAGCCCCGACACCTCCGATGTGTGGACAGAGGCGAACCTGAGTGCCGACGTCTCGCAGGTGAGGCTGACTAACCCCGGTGGTA